GTACGTCTGTCTGTTACGTTAAAGTTAATTGAATTTGTTTTAATTGTAACTGAGTGCAGAGTTAAGATAGACAGGGCCAGCAACCAAAGTCCCTTATATGCCAAATGTGTTACACTAAACTAAATCAGTTTCTTAAAAACTCGATTCAATGGATCCAAATTCCAAGTATTGGTAGCTTTTAAAATTAGGTAATTAACAGTTTCTGATTTAATTGTAAAGCAATAGCTATCGGATTGTTGAGAATAAATCTAGGAAAGATGGATGTCATTTTTGACAAAAAGACCTACCTGCATGTGTCTCATCTTCAAGAAAGACACAAATTAAAAGTGTATTTCCTTACTGGTATAAGCTTATTTAAGTCAATAATGCATGTCTTTTTCATTAGATTATAGCAAATCTATGTGAAATCAGGTTGTTATTGCCAAGTAGTAATGTTCAGCCAATACATTTAGGCCCAGGGTAGATTAATTTTTCGTTCAGAGATGGCGTACGAATTTAGCCAATAATTATTGGAGATGAAATAAAGGAGTGATAAATTGATATATTAGTAATTTCATGGTTTTTATGTTCACTGGGTAAATGATATAGAGGTCAAATAAAAAATCTTGTTAATTATTTTCTTCTTTTAAGAACTCAAATTACACTGGGTTGCCTAGGTTACTGAAAGGACAGGCAATCGAGTTGTTCAGTCCTCACAATGCTCAATAAATTAAAGGCATAACAACGCTTTAGGCGTGTTTGTCAAGAGGCTTTCTTATCTGACTTGGACTGTCATTTCAATCTGGCACTTTAGTTTCATATGAGGCAAAGGAAGGATTTATTGATAGCTGAAAACGCAATCTTAGATATATAGGCAAGTAGTTAAGTGCTAAGCCAACTGCCTACTTACAATGGATATAAGTAGCCTAACCTGACTTAATGGCAATATGTAGGTTTACGTGTTGGCAATCTCACTAGAAATGCGATTTTAAAGACGTTTGGCTTACCGTGAACACGTATATTTGTCCAAAGTCACTCGTGGCAGCCTGGCACAGTAGTAACATGTCAAAAAGATGCATTGCACCACTCGGGTATGATGAGACCGGGGAGAGGTGTAAATTGTATTCTATCCCAGCCGATACGAGAATACCTTTTGACGTCTAGTCATATCATCACCTCATGCGAGATAGGTTGAATAAAGCTCCTCTTCGGGATCTATTGGCATCCTTGAAACCCACTTGATACGAGATTTATGCCAATTTACTTGTGGCAAATTCAACAACCACGCCCTGCATCACCCAAACTGGCTGGGGTTCATACTTAATATCTTCTGATACTGTCGAAACTGGCCCACTTTTTCTATTTATTTTATCCATTTTTGCCATCTCACTCCTGTATCAGAGATCAAATGGAGTTTCTTCCTTATCCAACTGCTGCGCGACTCGAACTCCTACCAGGTCAAGCCGGTGGACTGATGGTTGTCACTGGTAGCAGTCTCCTGACCAGCTCCGGACCGCGAGTCCCGTTGGCTCGGCCTCTGCCTTTGCGTGCCAAGCATCGGCCGACCTCGGCGTCGCATCACAACTCTTTTCTCGGTCGAGGTGGTCGAAATCGGCCCAAATCCTCCACTCCGCCCTCCAACAAAGTCGGCCTCGTCCCGGCCACGGGCGGCATTGTCGGATCCACAACTTGCCCCAACACGATGCCGCTTCACGTGTGCACCACGCCCATTCTTCCACCGCCTACCGGTCCGAACGCGCTGCCTTCTGGCATGGTCTCGACCGCGGGACCTCGGCGCACCGCCGCCCACCTTGGCAACCTCAATTTGCCCATCCCCGCGGGGCAGACACCGGCCGGTCTGCACCACCTACCGGCCGGTCTCCTCTCGCCGGGCGCCAATTCTGCCGCGGCCAGCTCGTCCGGAGGCAGCCCTTCGGGCCGGCTGCTGGCGCCCATCACGGCCAGTCGCACGATGCTCTCCAGCCACCAATTGCTGCATGCACATGCCAGCGCCTACACCCATTCACATGCACACAGTCACTGTCATTGTCACCAACTCATTCATGCCTGTCTGCATGCAGCCGGCATGTCTGGCCTGTCTGCAGGTACCGGACAAATGGCCACTGCAGAAGAGACGGCCTATCCGGACAGTGATTCGGTACCGGGCCTTGTCACCACATGCGGAGACCAGTTGGCCAGTCAGTTCGGCCTGTTGCGCGGCAAGACGCTGCTGCCTGCGGCCGACTTGCCTGGACAAACGCATAATCAGGTACCAATTGGCACCGGCTCGATGGGCAACACCCGTCCGTCATGTGCGAAATGTCCATTCGAGTACTCGACTCAGTCTAAAAAGAGATAACCAGACTGAAATTGTAGCCTGGAATTAGACTATGATAATATATGCGAGGAAAAGTTGGATTTCGAAGAATATCTTGTTTCATAATTGTTGAGCTTACTTTCATTTCGAGCACAGTGCAAAAAGGGGACACGAGATTGAATGGTATCAGACTTGTCGTTTTGCCGATTATGGCATGTTTGCGGCTAAACGTAAAATAGAAACAGAATAGGAAATACCTTGAATGTAAGTAATACCGGCAGAAAGATAAGTAAAAATTACTTGTGCTCAATTAATAGATTGAAGGATAGAAAGTGAGTTGAGCGGCAACTAGTCTTTTCTTATGGATTTGCCGGTGAGTTTTCGTGACTCGTTAGCTTGAATTTGGTTGTGACGATGATACCTTGCTCTGATGATGCTCGTCATTTGAAGGAAGAAAGCTTAAAACCTTTTCACCGGAATCCAAAGAGATTGCCTCGGAAACAGCGTGAACATGAATGTTCTAGTAAAGCCAATCGACAACTGGTCAAGAGGAATTCGCCGTCGTCTTGTGGTGGAACCAACCTTTGAATCTCTTCACCTAACACTTTCACTTAAAATGGAAGTAGGCTCAACAATAATAATAGTTTGCCATTTTTAGAGATTTGGGCTATTCAAGAAGGTGCTAAGATAAGTGCTTTTTTCGGTTCTTTTTATACACTTTTTAACAACATTTATTTAAATAATGATAAACTAGCGATTATTTTATGAGCGACATTTTAAAGTTTCTGATTATCAGGAATATACAACTTTAAAATAGAGTCACTTCGGACGGAGATTTTGATAGATTTTGACAGTTATCATTTGACAACAATTATCCTTTAAGCTAAAATGAATTAAGTATGCACTCGATAATAATTTGGACGTAACATAATAATGTGTCGTTCATAAGTAGATTTTAAGGTTATAAGGGTATTGGTAATTGGATCTCCACCCAATGCTATGGCTGAACCCTACAGTTCCAGCGAATTTAACATAGCCTTGCTTCCCATTAGGTATTCTCATCCAGGCTTGAGTGGACTGCAGTTTCGACCTCGCCTCAACTAATCTCATGAGCACCCCCAACAGGACTCTGACCATGAGAGTACAGTGTGATGTTTAACGTTCCGAGATTATACAGTGCACTGTTTGGGTTCGAGTCCCGTGGGGAGAGCTAAAGAGACCTAAGCGATGCTCAAACTACAGTCTATCGCAGCTGGGATAAGAATAAATTTTGAGAAAGCAAAACTACGTGAAATTCAATTGAAGCGTAATGTTTACTCATATTAATTTAAGAAATGCCAATTACTTGTCACCTTATAGTCTTAAGACTATAAATCTCATATATCTGATCTATTAGTAGTCTAGAAAACCTGTATGTTAAAAATAGCGAAAAATGAATAAATTATTTCTTGAGATTATTTGTGGTTTAGGCTGAGTTACAAATAATATGTCTTCATGACATTTTTCGTCTAGCACTCTCGCATAAGACATAGGCCAGCTGTGACTCTGCTTGTATAAGAGCCGAGCTCTTATTCAAGAATAACCTTATCTAAAATAGGTAACCCTATCGATTAGAATGGAAAACACATGTTTGCTTAATCGGAAATCTTAATATAAATGTATGCTGCGAGAGGCTTGATTTGTCGCAAATGTCGCGCCTAACCTCTGACCAACTAGTATCCATTCCCGTGTGGC